ATATAGGATTTTTATGGTAAAAATTAATTTAATATAGAATTTAAAATAGAAATCAATATAAAAATATAGGATAGGATAAAAATTAAAGGTAATTTAAATATTGGTAATGGAAATGATAATCATTTTAACTTTGAGTCTCACTGGCTTTCAAAAATACAGCTACCTTTTTGTTTAAATAGTGTGTATAAGTTGATCCCTAATTAATTTACAAATTCACTTTTTAAAACTAAAGCGTCCTATGCTTAAAAAATAGATTATTAAGAAATTAATAAAATATTTAAATAGGTACCTGAAAATGGACTGTTTTCGATAAGTAGGGTCTTAAAATAATTTAAAATATCTTTATAATTTTTATCTTAGGATTGAATTTCTTTTCCTGTCTTTCCTTCCCAAAAACGGATAGAGTTATCACTATTACTCTATGCTAATGTAGTACCATTAGGAGAGAAGCATACTGATAAAACGAAACTACTATGTCCATCAAATTTGGTCTTTTATAATCCTGTCTTAACATTCCATAGACGAATAGAGTTATCGCTACTACCAGATGCTAATGTAGTACCATCAGGAGAGAAGCATACTGAGTTGACAGAATTCTTATGAGCATCCAATTTGGTCTTTTATTACCCTGTCTTAACATCCCATAAACGAATAGAGTTATCGCTACTACCAGATGCTAATGTAGTACCATCAGGAGAGAAGTTTACTGAGATGACTGAATTCCTATGACCATCCAATTTTTTTTTTTATTATCCTGTCTTAACATCCCATAGACGGATAGACTTATCAGCTCTACCAGATGCTAATATAGTACCATCAGGAGAGAAGCACACTGAGTTGACTTAACTACTATGACCATCCAATTTAGTCTTTTATAATCCTGTCTTAACATTCCATAATCGGATAGACTTATCCCAACTACCAGATGCTAATGTAGTACCATCAGGGGAAAAGCATACCGAATAAACATAACTACTATGGCCATCTAATTTGGCCTTTTATTATCCGGTCTTAACATTCCATAAACGGATTGAGTTATCCTCACTACCAGATGCTAATGTAGTACCATCAGGAGAAAAGCATACTGAATAGACATAGCCACTATGACCATCAAATTTGGCCTTCAATTACCCTGTTTTAACATCCCATAAACAAATAGACTTATCAGTACTACCAGATGCTAATATATTTCCATTTGGAGAGAAGCATAATGACCATACTGTTGAACTATGACCATCAAGTTTAGTCACTTATAATCCTGTGTGAACATTCCATAAACGGATAGACTTATCAGGTCTACTAGATGCTAATATAGTTCCATCAGGAGAGAAGCACACTGAGTTGACTTAACTACTATGACTATCCGATTGTGTCTTTTATTATCCTATCCTCACATCCCATAAGCAGGAGGACTTATCTCCACTATCAAATGCTAATGTAGTATAATCAGAAGAGAAGCATACTGGTAAAACTTAATAAGTATGGCCATCTTATTAAGACTTTTATTATGCTGTTGTAACATCCCATAATCTGATAGAGCAATCCATACTACCTGATGCTAATGTAGTACCATCAGGAGAGAAGCGAACTGAATAAACTGAATATGTATGACCATCCAATTAGGACTTTAATTATCCTGTCTTAACATCCCATAAACGGATAGAATGATCGCAACTACCAGATGCTAATGTAGTACTATCAGGAGAGAAGCATACCGAATAAACATAACTACTATGGCCATAAAATTTGACCTTTTATTATCCTGTCTTAACATTCCATAAACTGATAGACTTATCATAACTGCCAGATGCTAATATAGTTCCATCAGGGGAAAAGAATACTGAGGTGACTTAACTACTATGACCATACAATTAAAACTTTTATTATCCTGTCATAACATCCCATAATTGGATAGAATTATCCCAACTACCAGATGCTAATGTAGTTCCATCAGGAGAGAAGCACACTGAGGTTACTTCACGACTATGACCATACAATTAAAACTTTTATTATCCTGTCATAACATCCCATAACCGGATAGAATTATCCCAACTACCAGATGCTAATGTAGCTCCATCAGGAGAGAAGCACACTGAATTTACTTCACGACTATGACCATCCAATTTTGTCTTTTATAATCCTGTCTTAACATCCCAAAAACGGATTGAGTTATCACAACTACCAGATGCTAATGTACCACCATCAGGAGAGAAGCATACTGATAAAACTGAATGAGTATGACCATCCAATTTGGCCTTTTATTATCCTGTCTTAACATCCCATAATCGAATAGACTTATCATTACTGCCAGATGCTAATGTACTACCATCAGGAGAGAAACATGCTAACCAAACTGCTGCATTATGAGCATCCAATTCGGTCTTTAAAAATCCTGTCTAAACATCCCATAAACGTATAGACCTATCATAACTACCAGATGCTAATGCACTACCATCAGGAGAGAAGCATACTGATAAAACTGAATGAGTATGACCATCCAATTTGGCCTTTTATTATCCTGTCTTAACATCCCATAAACGGATAGAGTTATCCTTATTACCAGATGCTAATGTAGTACCATCTGGAGAAAAACAAACTGACATGACATACTAACTATATACATTCAACTTGAATTTTTTCTTCCTTGTCTTAACATCCCATAAACGGATAAACTCATCCCAACCGCCAGATGCTAATGTAATTCCATCAGGGGAAAAGCATACTGATTTGACAGTATTCTTATGAGCATCCAATTTTGCCTGTTATTATCCTGTCATAACATCCCATAAACGGATAGATTTATCCTTACTACCAGATGCTAATATAATTCCATCAGGAGAGAAGCAAACTGACTATACTGTTTGACTATGACCATTCAATATTTTCTTTTATTATCCTGTCTTAACATCCCATAATTGGATAGACGTATCCTTACTACCAGATGCTAATTTAGTACCATCAGGAGAGAAGCATACTGATTAAACCTTATTACGATGACCATTCAATATGTTCTGTTATTATCCTTTCTTAACGTCCCATAAACCAATTATTTTATAACTACCAGATGCTAATAAAGTGCCATCTGGAGAGAAACATACTGAGCGAACTAAACTACTATGGCCATCAAATTTAATCTTATATTGTCCTTTCTTAACATCCCATAAACAGATAGATTTATCCTCACTACCAGATGCTAATATATTTCCATCAGGAGAGAAGCATACTGATTTTACACTGCCAGTATGGCCATCTAATTTATTTATTTCACCCTATTTTTTAATGTTGGTCCATCTACAATTGAGCAATAACGCTCCATTTAAATTCATTCCATTTATGTCTACATTATCTAGTTATGACCCGCTTAAGTTGCACCTAAAAAAATTAGCTCCGAATAAAGAAGTATTCTTAATTCTGATGTTTTCAAAATTTTAATTTCTAATGTCCACTTTCATATTAACTAATAAATTTAGTGAGTTTGATCCACATTGTATTAAATTTTCATCATAGGCTGTGAGGTGAACTAAGAATTTTACAAATCCGATGATCTCTTGTTATTCTCTTATTGTTTTTATTAGATCCTGTCTCTGTCCTAAATATCGTTAATCAGAATAGTCTTATTTATTAAAATCATGATCTTTAATTTTTACAATGACATTAAGAATTAGTTTGATGTTATTTCTCATAACATCCATCCTTTATTCTTTTTCTTCTTGTGTTGAATCCTCTTTTTGTAAAATCTACTCTTCTAGATGTCTTAGATTTTCATAATCTGAAAGAAATCCCATCCAATCTCTAGTATTCTATTTTTCTTGCATCTAAATTATCAAAGAGTATATTCTTTTATCCACACCTTGCACTTAAGCAAAAATCTCAGAGAGATCTTCGGGATCATCCATTTTTTTTTTCTTAAAATAATTATTGAATATCTATTACTGAAACTTTTGTTTTATACTACAAAATGAAAAGAATCTTATTTGTTTGAGGACCAGAATTTTTAAAGGTTTGGAGTTGCTTGTGATTGATAATTTTATGCTTGTTGAGAAATCAATCGGATGAATGCAAGGATTGAGGAAAAAGAATATAGAATTAAAATATAGATTAAAGAGTAATATTTCAAAAAATAAAATAAAATAATATTAGATGAAAAATTCTTGATGATGTAGTGTTCATCATTTATTATTCTTTTACTTATGGTCTTTTAATTAATAACAATAAACTGATATATTTGAAAAAATCAGCTTCAGTCCTTAATAATTGTAATAATGTAAAATGGATTGAAATTTAGAGCTACATTTTCTTTTATTTTTTTCAAAAAGATATCTAACAAAAAGTCCAAGTATTACATTTAATAATTTTGTAACATATCCTTTATATAATGAGCAAATTGGTAGAATATGCTAAAAATTTTGGGTTAAGTTCAAGGCTTTGCTTTAGGTAGCTCATAATATTTCATTAACACAGTTAAAGCAAAAATATAAGACTTTAAACTAATTCTTCTTTAATATAGTCATAAATATCTATAAAATAAGTAGCAAAATCTTTTTGAAAAGAATTTTTAAGATATTAAAATTCCTTCAAAGTAAAAGCTTAACTAACTTAAATATAATTTCTTGTTATTTATCTTCTTTTTTATTTATATCATTATTTAAGTAATATATTCTTTCATAATAATATACCCATTAATTTCTCTAAAAACTTTAAATAGATATCTATATTCTATATTACAAATTGATTGCAATATTTAGTTTTGATTATTTCTTATTATTTATTTTGAAATCGTGAAAAATCACATGATTAGTATGAGAATTTATACCAAAAGAGAGTCATTACATTCCTTATCAAAACAATATCCAGAAAATTAATTATATGGATCAAAATAAGTTGCTGGATATGCATAAGGTTTAATGCATTTCTCATTGCAAATTGCATTTTAATTAGTGACTATATTTTGTTGTTTATAAGCCTAATATGTAAATATAAATACTGTAATTTTTATTTTTGAACGAGATAAACATACTTAAATCAATTGAGGGCAATCAAAACATTTTTCACTTTCATTTAAGGGACATAACTTACAATAATAAATTGGTTGTTCTTAGCACATTAAACAATCTGAACCAAAATATTCATTTTGCTTGGGTTTTACAAATTTCATCTCATATTCATATTTTAATAAAACTTTGAATTTAATGTTTTTGGCTCTTAATAAGATAATCTGGATATGAAAACTCATCATTCTAAAGAAAAAAGTATTTTCTTTAATAAACCCATTTTGACAAGACGCACAATAATTAATGCTTTCAATATTCAATATGTACTGTACTCAATTTTATATATAATTCTATTAAGTTTTTCAGGAGCAATAGAAAAATCATCTTATGTTGATACTGTTCATTGTTCTATTCTCGCTTAATCAATAAAAGAACTTAAAAATTTTCTTATTTAATGTTACTATAAAATATGCATTAAAATCAAAATTTTAATTATCTTTACAAAGTGCACAACTTATTTTAATTTTAAGATTTATTCTCTAATATTGGATATGAAGGCAACAAAGAACAAAAGTTTTAATTATAGCATAAGTATTTTAAGCAATAAATAAAGTTATCTATAATACATTTCTTGCATTATCTTGAATATGAAATGTAATCAATAGTTCCATCAAAATAATATCTTTCTTCGCCTTCATAAATTATGATTATTCTATACTTCCCAAATCTGACAAGAAAAGATATTTCTGACAAGTAAGATCAAACTACCAGTTCAATTGATTACTGTAACATTCAAAAAATATAATCATATTTTTATTAACTATCAATGGACTATAATATTAATAAAATAATACATAATAACATTCTTTCTCTATTTCAAAATAACCTTATTTGCATTTAATAGTGTGCAAATTTGATTAGAAAAAGTATAAATTTAAATCTAAATAAATTTAACAAATATAATTTTTATCTATATTATACTAAAGATATAAAAACCTTAAATTCACCTATAAATTCCCTGAGAGGATTTAGAGCAAGATAAACAGTTTTCATTTTTTTGGCCATCACATGTTAAACAACTGTAATGACAATTATCTTCGTTCAAAAGCTAATAACAATTATAATTATGAAAGTTTTTTAATTGAAAGTTACTTGTTAATAATTTCCAAACTATATTTCCAATTAGTAATTTTTAAATTAATCTACATTATATTACCTTGTCATATGATCAGAATTATTTTATTTCTCATAAAACTTCAAATTCAAAGTAATTTAATTAGAATTTAGTTCTACTTTAAAATAATGCCATAAAATTAAATTATTTTTAATTGTTATTTCATCTCAAATTATTTATGATTTATAAAAGGTTTTTAGTATTTTATTGTTTTTAATAGTCAATCATAATAAGTAATGTTTATACTTTATGACTCTTACCCGATAGCTATATGTAAATCAAAGAAATAGTTATCATAAAATCTACATATTTCTATTTTATTAATTTATCCAAGAGGAATATATTTCGACCATAAACCATATGTAAAATAATAGTCCTAATGTTAGTATTACTCTTTTATAGTTATAATCTGTCTTAGTTTTTTATTTGGATGATTCATATCTATGGTTTCAAAGCCATAAACTAAAATTTACATCGTCAAAATTCCACTCCCAAACATTTATGATATGATAATTAAAAATATATGAAGATTTTACAATGTCTCATATTGCCTATAAACAATTAGTTTCCAATTCAAGAAGAAATCATAAAATAGGAATCATTTAAATCCTAAAAATCAGAAAATCTTCTGAATTCAAGATTATCACTCATATTTAACAAAAAAATGGAATCAAGTTGTTTTTTGAATTATTAATTCTAATTACTCTGCATTATAAATTATGTCAAAATTAAAATAAGATTGTCCATTTTGTCCAATAATGTAAGTGCTTAAATTCAGAAAAAGCTTTAGAATTTGTAGAATATCAAGTATAAATTATATTTATTTTTTCTTTTTAGTAAATAGTATAAAAGTTTGTATAAGCTTAATGACGCTTTTCAAATTAATATGTGGCAAAGAGTATACCATAAATTAAATCCTTCTGTTCTGAAATATAAATTAGATTTTTTTTAATTGAAACTTTCATAATAATTAGATTAATTCAGCACAAATATATTTTATAATAATAAAATAAATATGATTTGATGTGATGTGATATAATTTCTTACTTTTAAATCTTGATATCTTATGTTTAAAAGCTCGTCCTACTTTCATTATTAGAGATTTCACTATAAACTGAGATAATTATACAAAACCTCATATTATCAAAATTGAAAAATCTTTTAGGAAAGTGAGAGGAGAAATAAAAAAAATGATAAAACTAAATTATGAAAAACTTTCAATAGAAAAGTTTTGAATATAAGGAAATGGCTTTAGTTATATCTTAGAGCTACTTTCACTTATTATAAGTTAAAGATTTCACTACTATTTAAAGTAATAGTATCGATTCATTTTCCTTTGCTGTTTGATATAAAGTAGTCACCTATAGTTTCCTATGAATTTTTTTGTTTATTCAACTATTCTGCATATATGACTTGCCTTCATTTTAATAATTTTGATCAATGAATATTAATATAGTTATTATATTTGCGTAATATACAATATTCTATTTATAATGAGTATTAAGTAGGTTCACCCAACAAAGGAAAAGGAAGAATAGAATGAATTTAAAAAGGGATTGCATTAGAGTATGCAGATCGGTCCAAATATTCAATGATCTTAGAAAAAGAAGAGTAAAAGCCAGAGAAGCTACATAAAAATTTTCCCAAAATTGGAGAATTTTTCATTTAATTTCTTTAGTCAATAATATCAGCATATATAATAACCAAAGGTTAGTTAGTTTACACGTTAAGATCTTATTATGGAAGAGAAAGATGTTTTAGTATTGGAAGGCTTCAAAATTAAATTTAATAGGGCTTTTAGAGGATTACTAATAATCGTGAATTTTTTACTTACTTTTCAAATCAGACAAAGAAATATAATATAATTTAATAATCAATTACAAAATAATAAAAACCATTTCTCCTTCACATTTAATTTATTTCTGGAAAATTAAGACAGATTTTCCTATAAAGCAGGACAGTATATCTTTAATACATCCCATTCTTACTTAAGTTCAATAATTAATTATACAAAGAGGTTTAAATTATTTTAATGAAGAGAATGAATTATTATTAATATGTAATTTTTTGTTGACTGTCAAATGATCGAAAATTTGATTGAAGTTGACATTCAATGTTTGTTTGCATTAATGGCCAAAGGCTTCTTTCCATTCGAGCAATGTTTGAAAAAGAGAGCAAATACATATTCCTTTACTCCTATTGGAAGCAAACTCCACTTTGTTCCTATTTAGATCGAATAAGTAAAAAAAAGTCCCTAATTAATAAAGTTACCTCAATATCATCTTTTAACTAAGTAATCCAAGTTTAATCCCCAATACCAAGAGACCATTCTAATCATCCAAGAGTTGCCCTACTTGACTCCAAACATAGGAAAATTGCAGCCGGCTAAAATGGCGTTTTCTATTCTATCAGTCTATTCGTCGCTTGCCAGAAACTCATAAAGATTCATCACCTCATTATCTCCTACCTCATATAGTATCCATCCCTTTGATTTCCCTAATTTATCGTCATCCTACAGCCAAATATGAAATTTTTGCTTAAAGATGTTTTCTCTAATCATAATTTTAGTTATTCATGATTTCTTCAAACGGTTTAACTGCTATTTCGATATTAAGAATCTTTTATCATTAGTAGTGAGGTTGATATTCAGGATTTAGAACTCATTAGAGTCTCTCTAAATTTATGAAGAAGGCTAATGTCTTTAGTGAATGTGAATTAGCTATGAAAATCTCTTCAGTAGTCCAGAACATCTAATTTTTATTCAGATTAGTTGGTCAGGACACTAGCATTCGATACTTTGACAAAATACCTGTATGGTCTTACTAAGAAATTTTTGGTATTGATTTCATATCACTAACCATTCTACTAGTTCACCCCGTTTATTGTATGCCATTCTTTAATTTATTTATTTATTAATTTCAATTCTTATTGATTGTAGGCAGCCTTATAAATCTTATGGGTCGGCACTCATTCTGTAATCGTAGTAATGGCTCAGACCTTCTTTCCATCCTAAATTACATTAACAGAATGGATCAATACATAAATTCTTACTCCAGTTGAATTTAAATTCTGTATATGTATTTGGTAGCTTAGGGGTAATATGTATAGGCAAAAGTCCTTGATGAAGAGTTAAGTTTCATATTATTGTTATATTTCCTATGTTCAGATATTTAACTTTTATTAGTCAAAGCAATTTTAAGAATAAAGATAAAATTTTTGTTGAACATTTAACGAATAAAACAATAAAGGTCTATTAAAAAGAAATAAATTACTTTAATGTTTCAAGGAAGAAGTTTAATAATATGTGAACCTTCAATCAGAATAGTAGAGTTCATTGGCTAACTCACACATACCTTGTTCTGAACTAACAGTAAATACTATCCAGATCCTCTATATGGATATAAAATACAGAATAAACCCAGCCTATTTAGAGTTTAAAATTGCTCCTACTAGTTTATATAGGTTTTAATGAGTATGTTTATTATTTTTTCTGTCTCCAAAGATCTTTCACATCCTTTTTCTGTAATAAATTACATTACCATCAATCAAAATAGAAAGTTTGCTATTAAAATAGTGGCAAAATATAGGTTTAACCCAAATTGAAATAAAGCTACAGTTACAAGTCTTTTGAAATATTGAATTCATAGGCTTATTAATCTTTAGACTTTTAAGATTAAAAATAGCATAATGAATAGTTATTAAATATTAGAAACATATATTAGTTTTCAGTAATAATGTATTTCTACATATAGTGGCTTATATTACCTACACCTTTTGCATTTTAGAGCAATAGTTTAAGTTTTCTTTAGATAAAAAATCTTATAACTGATTAGCATTTCATGACTAGTAATGAAGAAAATTCTATTTAGTGATATTATCAGGTTGATCTGACCATTATCAATTAAGTAGACCAATATGGTCAATGAATTATTTTATTCTACTTATTTAAAGATATTTATTAATGAGTTCATATAAACCATTGATAATTAATAACCATTTCATAGATCAAAAAGGATGATTACTTATAAAAAAAGGAGATAGTGGAATTTTAATTAGGAGGAGGATCAATTTTATTTCTGTTGATTTTTTAGACTTATTACTTAACCAGCAGTATTAATACTAGAAAGTTAATTTTTCTCTAATGAGATCTCCCTATGTATCATAAATAAAATAATCATCATCTTATAACTGATAAAATGTTTTGATTAATTTCATTATCTAAAAGTTTTGAATTTAGTTAAAATATAATTGTTATTTCTAATTAGTTGTCAGTCAATATCATATTAAACTATGTATGTTTTACTAGATTAGCATCATTCCCATCTCAGACATATCGAAATTTACACCTTAATAAGTTAGTTGGGTCTATAACATCATTAATTTAGGATCTTTTTAGTCAATACTTTGTAGTCTATTACTTTCTATAATGAATCAACCAATAATTATTTTATTTATGTTGATAAATAAAGACCCTCTTGAAGAATCGATGCAACAATTTTAGAGTTGCTTTATTCAGCTAAAAATATTTCTAATCAGAGTATTTAATGCTTATATCAAATAAAGCTGATTAATGAGTCAACTTGATTTTTTGATTAATTTAGCAATCAACCATATCAAATTGATGTAAAATAGATACTTCTTAAACTAATTTTAGATTAAATATTACTAAATATATTAAAATAAGTAATAATATATAGAGAAGCTTTTATTTATTTTAAATAAATTTATTTGAATTGCTTTCTATTAGCTATGATTTAAGGAATTGTAAATTCATGAACAATGATAAATTACATATAAATTCAAATCAAATTTGTCCTAAAATGTTATAATATATAGTTTCCAAAAAAATTTCATATTAATATGATGAAATACAATCTTAGTTTTTGTGACTTAAAAATCATAGGTCTTAAATGCTATTAGAAAAAAATATTTATTTATTTATTTATT